TTGATTAGGTGTCAGCGAGAGGTCAAAGTCTAATCAGCAGGAAAAATCATTTTCCATTTATCGCAATTTTTAAACAAAGAAAACAAAAATTACCCTTATATGCTTGTTTGCCAGATATAATTCAATTATAGAGCAAATAAATTATACTTAAATTCGATGAGCATTAATAAATTAATTAGAGAGCTTTCGAACATTTGCTGAATATTTGCTCTTCACTTATGTCTTCCAATTGGATCAATAAAATCAGGGGACATTATTATATCAGGCACATAACCGTATTACAAGCAATTAAAATTTTATAATCATTGGATAGTGGCTGTTGCTGACGCATTTGCTTATAATGGAGAAAAAATTTGATAAACAAATTTTAGCAATTTTTTAGATGATTAAGCATTAAATTAGCGCATTCTGCATTTAATAATTTTAAATCTCTAAAAATATCATAAAATATTTTAAAGATTGAGTGGATATACTCAATATACATTTTATTATCATATTGAGTATACCTTTCGATGAGCTAGCTCTATTGTCATTTCTGTTTACTAGAAAATTTACAAAATCATGAGCATCTCTATTTAAGTGAAATAACGTGTGATTTAATTTCGATTAGGTTGAGTGATTGCTTTACCGACGTTTGGGATTAAAGTCAGGTATACAGTCTTAAGAGTCTTAAAACTGATAAAAACAAAACTTGATATCGTTTTTTGTTTAAGAGTCCATTGAGTCAAAGAATTTAATCTACTTACAACTTTTATGCATGCAAGTAGTGGAAATTTACTTAAATTTAATGATAATTTTAAATTTTCTGGATTTCCTTAAAATCTGTTATTCGTTTGAATTAAAAATAAGCTCCTGTTATTATTGTTTATTGTTATTATTGTTTTTTTAATACGATATGAAGGTATGGAGTATTTTTTTAAACGCATTTACTGAAATGTATCACAAAGAATCAATAAATAAATGAGTGCTTAACAACAAAAACATTGAGATAAGAAAGCAGTACAACAAATTTTTTTTTGCAATATGGTACATAGTTGACATATTAAATTTAAAATTATTTGAAAGAAGTTGTCCTCATCATATATGTTTATTTTGAAGCTACAATGTTATTTGAACTATTTAATCAATGTAAAAGATTTTTCTGTATGAATAAAAAAAAGAATTTGTATTTTTTTATTATTGTTATCATTCTTATTTTCCGTACAAATATAATATATGTATTTTAACAATGATCGAGCGAAGAAACGCAAATACTTTTCATGATTTATAAAAATATATTATGCATAGATAAAGTATTACAGTTCTATAAGAAGTAACCTTTTCATATGTATATGCGCATGTATACCGAAACGACAGATCTTTTATACCCCTGAGCATATCCTAAATAGAAAGCAAACAAAATGTTTTGGGAAAAGTTTGTATACATATAACAATAACAATTTGAACTTTGTTTTTAATAAATATGGCAATAACTTTTTTTTAAAGAGTTATGGATGTTTGAAGATTTTTTTTGACATGAACATTTTCATTTTCATTTATAGCAAATAAAATAAAGTCATGTAAGTAATCTTAACTTACTACTATCCTGCAAAATTACAATATTTGCATGAAAATTTAAAAAAGAAGTGCTTGAATAAATTAAGAGCTTCTGAAAGCTTTTCTCCTAACAAAATAAACTAAAACTTTCTGTGAAATTTTAATCGCTATGTAATCTTCATTTTTTGTTGACTTTTCACGCGATGCTCGTGTTTTTAAATATGTCAGTATAGTGAAGGAAATGAAGGATAAATTCATCGTCAACGAATGAGATGCTATTAATCAAGAAGATACGATTGAAGGCGATTCCACATAATCTTATAAGACGGAATAATTTAATATTCAGCAGTAGCTTTTTCTTCACAAAAATCTCTCCATATTTCATTCCGCTCCTATCTTTCTGATTATTTCTTTTGGGGCCCGTTCACTTATTACGTAACGATTTTAGAGGGAAGGGGGGTAAGTATTGTTACGGCTCAAACAAAAGTAACGTTTTTTACGTCCAAATTTTGTTACACGTGGGGAAGATGGGTTTAAAGGTCATTTTTCGCGTTACGTAAATAGTAAACTGCCTCTTGCCGTCTTTCAACCATTCACTTAATCTGTCAAAACGTAAGAAAGACACAAATGCACAATAAACTATATTACATTCTTTTATTGATTCAAAGACTTTGAGCTATAAAATGAAAACTTTTACGTATAAGATTAATTAATACGATATCCAGCATTTCTTTTGTATACTATTCTATTGTTCTGAAAATTAAACATTCTAAATGGTCTTTTTAATAATTTTTTTTCATCAAAAACATTAAAATTTGCTATTAAACGTATTTTGAATACTTAATTGTAACTATATGCCTTAATAAATTACTTCATTAATTTGAGTGTTTTAAACGAGATTCATATCAATTTCTAATTTTGAAGATTTCCGTTTAGAACTCTGACTTTTGGAATCATTTAAAAAAGGTCTCTCTCATAAAAATAATACTCATATAAGGGAATATCCATGAAATATCAAGGGCGCAGAACTGATGATTTGATCAAATTTATCAGCTACGCACCCTTGTTAAATATGTTATTTGCACAGTATAGTGCATGCAATATCATATTTGAGTTCAGTAAATTTACAAAACATTTTTGTGAATCTAATTCGAAAAACTAAAGAAGAGAAAACAATAGTAATGAACATAAAATGGCAATTGAAGACAGACAAACATTTGAAATTGGCAATTATTCACTTTCGTTTGCGACATTAAGATAATGTATCGGAACAGTTTTATGTAAATGTTTGATAATAAATAATAGAGCCAGGTTTTACTTTTCCGCAGCATTTGTAAGGAATGTTCATTGAATGAAATGATTATAGCAGTCATAAGATAAGTAAAAAAAAAGATATGACATTAGAAATCAAATGTTAAACAAAAGAATTTCTAGGCTTTAGCTGAAATTCAAAAAAAAGTGTTAATTTTGAGTTTTGCATAAAAATTCTTGATTTTCCGTTCTATTCCAAAACTCTTGTCTTCAAATATAAACAAAAGAAAAATTAAATTGTCATTCCATGAATATTTATGACGCATTTATAAACTTCAAATTTTCTTCGTTAATTTTTAAGAAAAATTAATAAATCCTAATTTAAGAGAAAAGGGAATAAAAAAATTGATGCGAAATACCAAAACAACATGTACAACTTAGTATGATAAAAGTTTTACAGAAAACATCCTAATTAATTCTAATAGATTTACTAAGATCAGAGGTCTTCGCAATAAATAGATATAATAAATGAATTTCTTCAGATATTTAATTATAGCCAAGCTTTTGTAATAAGTTAATTATAAAATAAAAAAAAAAATATCTAATTAATTTAATAAGTTCGTTAATACTAATTATGTACATTTTAGATTATTTAAAATGGGATTCAACAATCGTTAGCAAATGTTTAACAGCGTGAAACTTTAAAGCATAAATAATATTAAATTACAGAGTGAATATTAAAAGAGATATTAAATCATCATTATTGATGTAATAAAGATGTGCCGTTTATGTAGTTCCGACTTTAAATGAAGAGATCCTTTTGTCTGTAATGCTGAAAGAAATATTTTAACATTTTTCTGAGAAAATATACTTATAATAATAAAGGGCTTCCTTATTCGCATAATAAAATTTAAATGCCAATGTATCATATTGTAAAAATCGACTGAGATAATCTTAATACTACTATAGTTTTCAATGAACATCATGAATAACCTTTATTGTTCATAAATTGAGTTCTATTGCATAATTCTTGATGGAAAAAGTTTTTGCCTGCATTCCAAGTTCCATCATATTATGCGAGAGAAGTTTTTTGAGATTGTTTTTTTTTCTCCAACATTTACATCTTCTCTTTTTCCAATATCGCATGCGCGATTTTCTCTAAATTTCCATCATCTCATTTTTTTTGTTGAAAATAAATGCCCTAGAAGTCTTGTTCCTTGTCCCGGATAAAATTGAAATTTTATCATTATCGCATAATTTTTTGGAACTTAAGCAATATACCTTTAAGCATTGCATTAAAACAAATTTAGAAAAGATAATTCTATGTTTTGTCTTTGTTTGAAAAAACTTTTATTGATTAATTTCATAATTCCTTGGATATAAAAATTTATTTATTTCACATTTGAAGGATATTAATATTTAATATTTTTGATGATGTTATAAATTACATATGAACTTTTGATCTTTGTCATTTTAACCGATTAATAATAAATCATTCACATACAATACATTTTCGTTTAATTTTTAATTTCATGATACCTAAATGTAATATTGTTCAGTATTAAAGATTAAAAAAAAATATTTTATAATAAAAATATGACATTAAACATTTTTTATTTAAAATTATGCTTTGCGAGTTTTACTATAAAAATATGAAATTTCTTTGTTCATCCTCAATTGCCAAAATTTGACTTTATATTAATGTTTTAAAGAAAATACATATATATAACTTGTACAACAGCTTTTAAGGGATCGTTACTCTAGAAAAATCAAAACACATGCTCTTACAAATTCATATAAGGCAAATAGATAAGTTAATTGAACTAAAATAATGAAAAGCCTGTTTAAAATATTTTTGACACGATTATATATATAAATTTTTCAATCTTTTTACAATTAATATACATTGTTCTATCATTGATGTATCTATAACCTATCTATTGTTAATGTGTACTTTCGACTAGTTTACACTGATGATAGAAAATGGCCCTAAATTTTTTACAATTAACTCTAATAAAAATAAGAGCATAAAAAGAGACATTTAATAGTGAAAAACATTTTTTGTTTTACCTTAAATACTTTTCATCAATATAATTATTGACTTTTTCTAAAGAACAAAAATAAGCAAAAAGTATAAATATGTTAATAGTTTGTGCCTGTATGTGAATGAATTTTTACCAGACAATCATTACAGTTTTCAATGTTGCTCTATATTATGACCTTTTCGAAGATCCGATATTAAGAAACGGAGTAATTATATCCATTGGTAATGGGAAAATTATTGTCGAATTCTTTTCACTAGAAATACTGTTGAGAGTCTGTAAGTATCTCAATTGTAATGCTGCGGGGCTCTCACTGAGTGTATCCGCAGCTTCCTTTAATGCTCTTGACGCTTTCATTTCACCTTCTGCTGCAATAACTTTAGCACGCGCTTCCCTGATTTGAAGAAGAGAATAATTATGTTATAAAATAAGAAGATTCCTTTCTCTTCTCGGAAAAAAGAAAATTGTACCTTGCGGCTTCTGCTTCTGTCGCCATAGCTCGTTGAAGTTGAGTTGGTAATGAGACGTCCTTACTGTTTATTAAAAGCATATACAGGAAAAAAAAAATGGTTTTTATTATTTTAAAAATTAATCAATAGTTGAACTCACATCTCAACACGCTCTACCTTTACTCCCCAAGGATCGGTAGCTGAAAACATATTAATTTTTTTTTTTCTATAAGAAATATTCCATTTTTTTTAAATATAATCTACTTACAATGGTCCAAAATGTTACTCTAAAAGTCATTAAAACGGAGGAAATTTTTACAAGCAATTCATAATATTTAATATTTATATGCTTACCATTGTATGTGAAATATTCTCTCTCTCAATAAGTAATTCAGATAAGTTTCTAGTACCCAAAACATTTCTCAATGTAGTAGCAGCCAACAGACGGGTTGAATGAGAATAATTAGCAACTTGTACAACAGCTTTTAAGGGATCGTTTATCTAGAAAAATCAAAACACATGCTCTTACAAATTCATTTAAGGCAAATAGATAAGTTAATTGAACTAAAATAATAAAGAGCCTATTTAAAATGTTTTTGACACGATTAAAAAAATTTTTTTAAAAAATATTGCATAAAAAGAGGGAATATTTTCTCCACCAACAATAAATGTTGTAATGAAAGTATTTTTAACAAATGAAAAAAAAATGTCAAAAATGTTGATGATATGCTGGGTCCTTGTATATGGAAAACAATATTTCTATCCCCACGTCCCAAAACGAGTAAGATTGTAGAAGTTTTGAATTTTTGGACTTAATGGCATTTTAAATTCAATTGTACTTTTTTTGTCGATAATTAATGATCTCAAATTTTTGACCAAAATACATTTAAAAAAAAGGTTGATACAAATGAATAAGTAAGACTTGTAGAAAAAAATCGTAATTGAATTTTAGGGAAAGCAAAAAAATGTGCGAACTATAGTATAAAATTGAATTTTTTTTTTTTTCAAAAATTATTTTTATTATCTTATTACAAAGGTCTTTATCCAAGGACTCAGAATCTACAAATGTTTTGGCACAAAGTGAAGCAGTGCTGAAGATAAAGCTCAAAGAAATCTCGATGATCGTGGATAGTAAAAATTTTCAATTCGTCAGAAATTTTTCTTGTCTCAAATAATTTTATTAATACTTACACGGTAATAAACCACTGCGTCAACAGAAACTGTTACAGAGTCCTTAGTAAGAACCTCTTGCGGAGGAACGTCAAACGCTGACAAAGAGGACAATATTAAGCATATACAGCTGATTAAAGTGTAGCAAACAAGATCATTTTTGAAAATTTCGATATTAAGAAATTATTTTTTTTGTCTGATGTATTATTCAAATTAAATTTGCACAGAAACTACACAATTAATTCCAAAACGGATTTTGGTTCCTAAAAGTACATAGTTTAACCTTTAAAATGATATATCATAAAGCATACTTTATTAATATTATGTAATAATAGTAATAATGTGAAAAATAATTGATTTATTATGTAAATGTATGGAAAAATCGCACAAGTCACAAAATCAAACTTAAATAATGTTTGCAACAAAAGTTGAAATTTTAATCGTATTTTTGAAAATAAACCAACATTGATTGACTGGTCCTCGTTATACCCGTACTTTTAAAAAACATAAAACAAATTGACTAGCTCTTAATTATGGAAATTTCAAAAAGTGCTCACATTGAATTATTTTATACATTATTACTATTATTACATACATACTTTATGATATATCATTTTAAAGGTATAACTATGTACTTTTAGGAACCAAAATCCGTTTTGGAATTAATTGTGTAGTTTCTGTGCAAATTTAATTTGAATAATACATCAGACAAAAAAAATAATTTCTTAATATCGAAATTTTCAAAAATGATCTTGTTTGCTACACTTTAATCAGCTGTATATGCTTAATATTGTCCTCTTTGTCAGCGTTTGATGTGCCTCCATTTAAGGAGAACAGAAATATTACTGTGAAATAACCTTAAAGCAGAACTTAAACTTGCTTTTAAAAAACAACTTATTTCTTTAAATTAAGCTTTTTTGCCTACTATTCGTATGGCATTTTTCTTAAATTGAACAATGAATCTTGACAAATTGTTAAAATTTAAAAAATTATTAGAAATAAAGGGTGATTTGATCTTTATATGATCTTTAATTCAAGAGGTAGATTAATGGAATTTCGTCTGTAGCTCCAAGTTCTTCAAAATAGTTGGCAAAAAAGCTTAATTTAAAGAAATAAGTTGTTTTTTAAAAGCAAGTTTAAGTTCTGCTTTAAGGTTATTTCACAGTAATATTTCTGTTCTCCTTAAATGGAGGCACATCAAACGCTGACAAAGAGGACAATATTAAGCATATACAGCTGATTAAAGTGTAGCAAACAAGATCATTTTTGAAAATTTCGATATTAAGAAATTATTTTTTTTGTCTGATGTATTATTCAAATTAAATTTGCACAGAAACTACACAATTAATTCCAAAACGGATTTTGGTTCCTAAAAGTACATAGTTATACCTTTAAAATGATATATCATAAAGTATGTATGTAATAATAGTAATAATGTGAAAAATAATTGATTTATTATGTAAATGTATGGAAAAATCGCACAAGTCACAAAATCAAACTTAAATAATGTTTGCAACAAAAGTTGAAATTTTAATCGTATTTTTGAAAATAAACCAACATTGATTGACTGGTCCTCGTTATACCCGTACTTTTAAAAAACATAAAACAAATTGACTAGCTCTTAATTATGGAAATTTCAAAAAGTGCTCACATTGAATTATTTTATACATTATTACTATTATTACATACATACTTTATGATATATCATTTTAAAGGTATAACTATGTACTTTTAGGAACCAAAATCCGTTTTGGAATTAATTGTGTAGTTTCTGTGCAAATTTAATTTGAATAATATATCAGACAAAAAAAATAATTTCTTAATATCGAAATTTTCAAAAATGATCTTGTTTGCTACACTTTAATCAGCTGTATATGCTTAATATTGTCCTCTTTGTCAGCGTTTGATGTGCCTCCATTTAAGGAGAACAGAAATATTACTGTGAAATAACCTTAAAGCAGAACTTAAACTTGCTTTTAAAAAACAACTTATTTCTTTAAATTAAGCTTTTTTGCCTACTATTCTTATGGCATTTTTCTTAAATTGAACAATGAATCTTGACAAATTGTTAAAATTTAAAAAATTATTAGAAATAAAGGGTGATTTGATCTTTATATGATCTTTAATTCAAGAGGTAGATTAATGGAATTTCGTCTGTAGCTCCAAGTTCTTCAAAATAGTTGGCAAAAAAGCTTAATTTAAAGAAATAAGTTGTTTTTTAAAAGCAAGTTTAAGTTCTGCTTTAAGGTTATTTCACAGTAATATTTCTGTTCTCCTTAAATGGAGGCACATCAAACGCTGACAAAGAGGACAATATTAAGCATATACAGCTGATTAAAGTGTAGCAAACAAGATCATTTTTGAAAATTTCGATATTAAGAAATTATTTTTTTTGTCTGATGTATTATTCAAATTAAATTTGCACAGAAACTACACAATTAATTCCAAAACGGATTTTGGTTCCTAAAAGTACATAGTTATACCTTTAAAATGATATATCATAAAGTATGTATGTAATAATAGTAATAATGTATAAAATAATTCAATGTGAGCACTTTTTGAAATTTCCATAATTAAGAGCTAGTCAATTTGTTTTATGTTTTTTAAAAGTACGGGTATAACGAGGACTAGTCAATCAATGTTGGTTTATTTTCAAAAATACGATTAAAATTTCAACTTTTGTTGCAAACATTATTTAAGTTTGATTTTGTGACTTGTGCGATTTTTCCATACATTTACATAATAAATCAATTATTTTTCACATTATTACTATTATTACATACATACTTTATGATATATCATTTTAAAGGTATAACTATGTACTTTTAGGAACCAAAATCCGTTTTGGAATTAATTGTGTAGTTTCTGTGCAAATTTAATTTGAATAATACATCAGACAAAAAAAATAATTTCTTAATATCGAAATTTTCAAAAATGATCTTGTTTGCTACACTTTAATCAGCTGTATATGCTTAATATTGTCCTCTTTCCTAGCGTTTGATGTGCCTCCATTTAAGGAGAACAGAAATATTACTGTGAAATAACCTTAAAGCAGAACTTAAACTTGCTTTTAAAAATCAACTTATTTCTTTAAATTAAGCTTTTTTGCCAACTATTTTGAAGAACTTGGAGCTACAGACGAAATTCCATTAATCTACCTCTTGAATTAAAGATCATATAAAGATCAAATCACCCTTTATTTCTAATAATTTTTAAATTTTAACAATTTGTCAAGATTCATTGTTCAATTTAAGAAAAATGCCATACGAATAGTAGGCAAAAAAGCTTAATTTAAAGAAATAAGTTGTTTTTTAAAAGCAAGTTTAAGTTCTGCTTTAAGGTTATTTCACAGTAATATTTCTGTTCTCCTTAAATGGAGGCATATCAAACGCTAAAACAGATGACAATATTAAGCATATTCAGCTGATTAAAGTGTGCCAAACAAGATCATTTTTGAAAATTTCGGTATTAAGAAATTATTTTTTTTGTTTGATATATTATTCAAATTAAATTTGCACAGAAACTGCACAATTAATTCCAAAACGGATTTTGGTTCCTAAAAGTTCATAGTTATACCTTAAAAATGATATATCATAAAGTATGTATGTAATAATGATAATAATGTGAAAAATAATTCAATGTGAGCACTGTTTGAATTATTATGTAAATGTATGGAAAAATCGCACAAGTCACAAAATTAAACTTAAATAATGTTTGCAACAAAAGTTGAAATTTTAATCGAATTTTTGGAAATAAATCGACTTTAATTGACTAATATTCGTTCATTTATGCCCATCTTTGAAAACCTGTTTTATGAGAACAAATTGATCGTAAATTCTCAACTTGGAGAATTACAAGGAAGTTTAATCCATTCATTTTTATAAATTTTTATTTTCGGGTTCAGTCAAATTTTGATTAAAACAATCTATTTCTCTATGATGAAACCCATTCAGAGAATTATCCTTTACCTATATCAATTTAAAAATAAAATGGAACGTCTTGAAGACTAATAGTGTTTAAGAAAGAGTAGAATTACCAGAAATGTTCAAAATTGAATTTGTGCTGTAGCAATAAAATTAATTTAATACTTACAAACTGTACGCAAATCCACTTTACAGTAATTGTCAACGCATGGTAGTACAAAAAATACACCGGGTCCTATTAACAAAATAATTGTGTGCATAATTTAGTTGTTAAAAACATTTGCTCAAAGAGCTTAAACTATGGCAAGAAACACTTAAGTAAAATATAGTATGAGATTTACCTCGAGCGCCACCTGATCTCAGTCTACCCATTCTGAATATTACAGCTCGTTCATATTCTTGCACAACTAGAAATATTAAAAATATGAATGAATATTAAAAATAAACATTTACGATAGGAATCTTTAATCGCAGAGATTCAAAAATCAAATCATATTGACCAAATTTTTTTTATTATTTTTGATTTCTATTATCATTGATTTATATATTGATTGTATGCCTGAAAATATTTTGTGCTATTTTATCTTTTTTATGAAAAATGTATATGTTAAAATTTTATGGAAAAATCTCATAAAATACATAAATTAAAAAGCTATTTAATAAAATTTATATAAAGTTATTCAATTAAGATATTTTGCAGTTTTATAAAACTATAATAGTGATTGAAAAATCAGTCAAATTAAAAATATTCAGCTACAGCTTATTAAAAAAAATTTATGAAGATTGAAAATTCATTTTAAACCACTTCTTGAAAAAATGAGAAATAAAATGTTACAAACATAGTTTTTACCTTTGAAGCAGATGAAAACGGAGATTGGAAATGTCAATATCATTAAGACGATAGAGCCAACCGTTGCCAGGACCTCGATAAAACCACCCCGTTGTCCTTCAGCTAAACACAAATTGATTATTAAATAGACGTGATATAAAAATAAAGAAACATTAAAGGTTACAGATTAGACTTAATATTTATTTTTTAAATTATTTATATATGTAAAACAGGTAGAATATATGTATACGTAGAACTTATGAGTTTTAAGTTTTTATTAAAAAATTATTTAAATATAATTAGAAGCGTTGTTGTAAAAGCTTGAAAATAAAAAAAAGATTTGTCAAATTTTAAAATTATAAATTAATAATTAAAGTCTGATGGAATTTAAAATAAAATACACAAAATACACCCGTTTTGGTGTCATATCAGTGAATTTAAAATTTGCTTTTAAGAAAAAATTAAATAACTTACGGAAAACTACATAACATTCACATGAACCTGAATTAGTAGATATGCACTCAAAATCCATTTTAAGGATTTGCTTTCAACGCACGTAATCTAGTAATAAATCGAAGCCCCAGAAATTTCATATGAGAAAAGAGAAAAATCATATATTTCATTACACCGACCGATAATAAATCAAAAAGCATCCTTTGTAAACACAATATTGAAAGGAGAAAATTTTGAAATGAAAAATTCTTTGATGAAATTATTTTGCTAGAATAATACAGAACATTCAAAGAAAGAAAAAAAATCAATCAAACATTTGTTCAATTGGACAAAAAGGTATCGTCGTTCGATAGAAAGAAATTAAATTAATTTTCATCTGTGGCATGTTGCTTTCGTGTTTCCTCTTTTGAAAAGAAGTAAAGAAAGCAGGAGTTAATTATTTTTTTAAATTTCCTGAAGTATTGAAACTAAGATACAATTACAACAGCTTGCTGTTTTGATTATTTTTTTCTGAGATCCAAAATGGTTTTTTTTATGAAGCTCACTATATTACATGAAACTTTTAGATTTCAAATTTTCTAAATGCTCTTTTCAATTTAAATATTTTTTATAGATTCATTACTGATTGATGTTGTGAATAATACGATTTTTCTGATTTGTTTTATAGAAACATTTTGTATTTAAAACACAAACTCAAATTCTGTACATTTCAGTCTGATTAAATGATTTTTTTTTAAACTTTAATATGTAATATAAATTCAATGATCCTAGCTTATAACTTTTTTCGAACACCTGAATAAAAATGCTTCACAGTGCTTCCAGTTCATATAAACCACTGTGTGTACATGTCTATTTCACCAATTCTTTTTTACAGCAGATGAAATAAATCGATATATATATTCAATTGGAATTTATAAACAAATCCCCACAGTTTATATATGCTCACACGTTTATTTCATTTTATTTGAAACTTGCCATAATTAAAATTAAATAACGAAAACAGATGGGAGGTAAGTTAATAATACAATTTTATTGAATGTGTACATTTATTAATTGTAGAGGTTCAGGATTCTTTTTTAAATATTTTAATTTCCGTTTCAACAGCAAAACGTAAAATAGTGTAGCAAAATCACTGACTTTTAATTTAAATAAATTGTTTCTTTAATAGAAAATTTGTGCATAAAAATTTCAACAATAAAGAGAAATAAAGTAAACGCCTTACTCTACATGTATCTTAATATGGAAATTCAAGTTTATGTTTGTACAAAAATTTGAAGTAACAGACATATCCCGCTGTCATAGAAGTTTACTAACTCTGTTTTCATTTAAAAAAAATTTCCTGGTTATCTTTTTTTGTACACTTTTTTTTTGCTTTTGTCTCATTGCCATGAAAATAAATGTCATAATATGTTTTAACATTAGCCGCACTTGAATACACATTAGTATGTTAGCATTTTTTTCAATCTCTTCTTATGTCTACCAACATAAGAAAACGAATTGGTTTATGTATTTGAGGAGTTACTTTTTTATTGAGGAGTTCATTTTGTGGATAGAAAATTGTAACTTCCTTTGGGCCACCTCTAATTAAGCTTGATTTTCACCAATTATATATTCTATCCATGAATCAAGTAAAAATGCTTATATTGCATTCTGCTAGTTTTATTTTAACAAAAACATTTTTCTTATTTTTCTGCACGAGTTTTCATCATCTTATCCGAATGAAGTCAAATGAAAAAAAATACCGGTAAAATTCTTCAACGTTGATATCAGCGATTAAATATTGAATGATATGTCTAAAGAAATGTTTGTGAAACAAAACTTTATAAATGGCATGGCTGCTCAAGAGGAAATACACAAAGGAAAAAAAGAAATCTAATGTAAGGAAAAATGCTTGAAGGAAATTTTGCTTGCATCAAGAAAAGTAGATATACCGAACACAACAATTTTTATATTGATTTACACCTCATACAAAAGTTTTTTATAAATTTGGGATCATTTATAAAATTTATGAAGTATCTAGGGAAAATATTGTTTTCTGATCCTAAAACAACATCTAAAGCAATTTAGAACCAAGATTAAAGATTATATACTCGTTGTGACAATCAAGAATTTTAGTCAGAGAAGTTATTTCATATTCTAAAAGAAGTATCATGATCCTAAAACAACATCTAAAGCAATTTAGAACCAAGATTAAAGATTATATACTCGTTGTGACAATCAAGAATTTTAGTCAGAGAAGTTATTTCATATTCTAAAAGAAGTATCATTATTTTGTAATTTTATAAAGCCTTGAAAATGTGCTTAAATTAAATTTTTTTGTTATTTGATGAAAGAAACCGAGGAAACCAATAAAGATAAAAACTTTCTATTTGATTGCTTTTTTAAAAAATAAGGCATTTTCGCTTAAAATTAACACAAAATTTTTAAAATTAGCTAAAAAATTAAAACCCAGATTTTTTTCAATAACTTGGAATTTTTAAAATATAGTTTTTCTTCAATTTTAGGATTAATTCTGGATGATAATATTTTAATACTTTTTAAAAAATAATTTGCAACTTTAAAACCTTTCTTTAAAGTAAACTTTATAATCAAGATATTAAGGTAAAGTTTGTCCTTATATTTCACAAAAGTTTGTAGTATAAAAAAATTAATCATCGTTCTGTTTTATCTGTGGATTTATTAAGTATTCTTAAACCCTTCTGAACAGAACAAATAGTAACATCTCTATTTATACACGTGATACATCACTCCATTCTCTGCAGCATGCTTAATTTACATCATAAAGTGGTTGATGATTAAATTTTATTAAAGAAGCTTTTGAAAGAGTGTACGACATGAATGTAGATGTAAACATACTTTTTTCATAGCAGAATATATTTTTTTATGAATGTATTTACAAAATCTATAACCCATCGCACTCATTCTTTCTTTTTATTTTTCAGTAATAAAATTTGGTGCCGATTTTTTAAATAAAATTTGTATACATTCTCATGCATACTTCAGCTTATTCTTATCAAAAACACGTGTGTTTTCACGTACCGATTACAACACTTGGAACACTTGGTGATATTTGACTATTATTATGAGACTGATTTGTATCAATGCGAACCACGTGAGTTGACATTTTCATGAAAAAACTTTCTTCTTAAACTTCCTACTTCTTTTTCTTATTTTATGTAAACATCTTATCAATTTTTATAAAGAAAAAAATCTAGCATGGACTTAATACCAAGAAATCTTGATTCTTACTGATTTGAAAATATTGTATTATTAAGCCTTTTGGAGAGAAGCGAATGAAGAAAAGCGAGAAAAAAACATCATTTTAAATCAGATGTGCATTTCGGAGAGTGTTGTTTCACTTTTTTTAAAGAGTAATATGTGAATATTTTTTTCCTCACTTCATTATTGTAAACTTCCCTTTAATAGCATTTTATACGTGAGGGTAACCAGATTATATGTATTTTCTGTTAACTAAAATTAAGCGTTCATCATACTATTTTTATTATTTTAATATTTTGAAGCAAATATTTTTAATAATTTTGAATAGCAGTTTTAACTCAAATATTTTTCACAAAATGTGTATAAAAATCTTTGCTTTTAATATATCGGAAACGGCCAGTCATTAAGATAAAATATATATTTTTCACGTATGATTTTTGTTTAAAAGTTTCGATTTAGACAAACTTTACTATTCACTTGTCTATATATCTGGTCGTCATTTACTCATATCTTTAGCATCTGCTATGTTCAATGCCATGTAACTAACTTTTCTATATTTCAAAAAGAATAGAAGATGAAAATCATAGTGTTGATGTTGTGTATACATTTCGAGTCTATAAATTGGCGTATAAAACCTGTAAAAAGAGATGGAGATAAATTTTGTAACTCATGACATACAATTTGTAAACAATTCCACTATATGAGCAATTAAAGATCATGTTATATTTAAAGCATTAAAGAGAAGAGAAAAATTAATATAAGTGTATATGACTAATAAACTAGAATTGTTTTCATTAAAATGTTCAAACTACAAAGATCATTACTTGTAATACTAATGCAAAGATAACTTGTCGAAAAATCAGTTTTGTTACAAATGAAACATAAAATTCAAATTGACTTGAGGTCAACAAAAAAAGAAAAAAATATTCATATAAATTTTAATTAATATGGGTCCAGGTTATTTGAGATATTTAAAATTTTGGATGATTCTTATGCATCGTTTAAGAGTTACAAAATTATTAAAAACGTAAAAAAAATAAAATCTATGTTAAATATTGGTTGATACATTTACTAATGAACACTCATGATTTCACGTCATCTTTACAGATACATCTATGCGTTCGTCAGTATTTGTGGGTGCATATCATAATAAATCTCAATTCGTTTAGTGAAAATGTGTAAAACATAAAACTAAATGACATAAGGAAAGATGTGGAAAGAAGATAAGATGATACAGCTTAGAAATAAAATATTGCTGATACTTTCACACGCCATTTGGGGAAAATAGGAGGAAATTTTAAATTTTACTGTATATCCTACGGGAAATGTGAATCATTGAAAAATTAAAAGTCTCGAAATCATAAAAAGTAAAAGCTTTATCTCACAGATATAAAATGATAACACAGCGCATCCTTAAGTATTAGGTGTGTTCGATTTGAGATACTCAGTTTATTGATCTCACCCCCACTCCCCTAATCGATAAAAAATGCTTATTTTTAAAAATAAAATTGACTTTTTTTTAACTTACTCATTGATTGTAAACTAATTAAATACTCATACTTGAAAATTGAGCTTATTTTGCATTTTAAACACAATTATTAGCATTAATTTTAATAAAATCGATTATAATAAAATTTATTGTGACTTTAAACTAATTATTGCTTCATTGATTTAAATTATTTTTTAGATTATCTTGTGTTTGAGTTTCATTTTAAACTACGACATACTATCTAAACGCAGTTTGGTAGACCACTTGTTCTGCTAAAATTGAACAATTATTATTCTTTAGAATGAAGAAAAACAAAATTTATAACACTTGAAAAAGCGAACAAAAGTATTACAAGTTATTATTTGGAGAGCTTAAAAATAAAAATATTATCGTTCTTGTTATCTTTATTGCATTCATATTGAAATCGATAAGAACTTTTTCACAATACATTATTGATAATGGAATTATTATTACGTGAAGAGTTTTGGAATTTCATTTTTCGATTTAAATTAACCTTTAAAATAAATAATTTTGTAAAATTAAAATTTTCCAAAGCAAATTATTTTATGTTATGCATAGTTTTATTATACTTTATATAGAAAATCTATCATTTTATTCTAAAGCCCATTCCCTTTCATAACATTTTCAAAAGAGCAAAATACAGTCCTATCTTTAGAAAATTCACTGCAAGGGATAGTTAAATTCTGGCCTTCCTTTCATAAGACTCTCTTAATTCTGTTTTTTTTTTCTTGAACTTTAAAAATATTCAGATTTATTATGATCTCAACATAATCATGCCAAAAAATCTTTATAAGAAGCAATTGTTTTGCTTTATTTGTGATAAAATATTGAAATGACCAGTTTATAAAAACAAAAAATATTTCACTGATTTTTAAAGCATATACGTACTGATTGTCACACTTTGTGTGAAATTACTGTTTTGTGTTGATAAATCAGTCATTTGTACAGATGTTGTCATAACTTTTCGCGAAAATTTCAAACAAGAAATAATAATATAAACAAACAACTACAGCAACTTAAACAACTTTTAAATCCAACAATATCACATCAGAGACTGAAAGTTGAAAATGTATTTTTTTTTGAAAGACTCGCTTTTAAACTAAGCGCGCGATAGGTATATCACATTTTTTTCTAGATTAGATTATTTATTTTATCACAGCAAGAAAAGCAAACGATGGAAACAAAACAGTGAAAATATTCCTCATGCACATACATTGACGAATTTATTGCGAAACGATTTAAAAATAACATTCAGAGACTGATTTTGTCTGACTAGTAAAACATTCACACACATTTCCACTTGCATGGGTTCATGTATTGAAGATGTTTTTCATGCGTTAACATTCTTCCTGTTCGTTGCTTCTTCGTGTACAAATGATGATGTTTTATTAACTAATATCATGTAATTAAAGGAACAAAAATTTAAATGTACTCAAAGAATCTTGAAATTGCTCCATTCAATTATGAAATGTCCTAAATCCAAATAATTTTTTGCTGGTCTCTGAATGCCACAATCTATTTGTCTTTTGCTCTTATTGTCCTTATTAAAATTCAATTTTGATTGCTCGAAAAATTGTCAATAATATTGATTCCAATTTTCCAGCATAAAACCCATTTGGAGCTTTGAAAAAAAAAATTATTTTAAAAAGCTTACAGCCCATGTACAAAATTTCTTTTTTAAAAATTTTTAATGGCTCTTTTGGTGCTCATTTCTTTAGAATCGGAACTTTCTGTACATTATATGAACAAATTATTTCCAAAAGGAAGGAAGGAATCATTTCAACAGAAGGAACTTTTGAGAAAAAATGTAGCGCCTTTTTGTCAAAAAGCCGTAAATTGAATTATGATAATTTTTTAAAAATTTCCATAATAAAATTTCTGACGCGAAATTACAAATGATGTTCATGTGCAGAGTTGTTAAAGCAATATTTGTGTAATTGTATGAAATCTGATTATCTCTTGGGAATTGATGTTAAAAAACCAAACTGATATGTTTGACTTTGGGGAGATGCAAAATGTAAAGATTTCTAATTTATTTTATGTTATGTTTACTAAAATGAAATGAAGAAACAAAAGGCATAAATAAATTTTATAAATACATCAAAGGATCTAAAATGTTTAAGAGACGTTATTGATTTTTCTTGAAAGTTGAGTCACATTAGCGTCTTTTGTTCACGGAACGTCAACTCTGTTTGTTTAATATTACAATATAATAAATAAAAAGAAACGAACGGAAGATGCGAAAAAGAGTCTTGTTAAAATAATCGTGACCGCAACTGATGACAATCAAGGGGATTGAGAATGATGGAAAACAAAAAAGACCGTAAAATAATGAATGAATGATGCAATGAATTCTAATAAATTAAAATAAAAAGCAGAAACTTTTTTAATTTATGTTTTAGGGTAGAAGAATGAATGTTCCACTGAGTTTTTTTTGAGCGTATTTTCAAAGCAATATGTACGAGAAAAAATTTTGAATTTATAAAAAGCTCATGAATTTGCAAATTTTTTTCTTTCAGTTTTTTAATTTATTTTTTTTTTATTATATATTTTTCAAAGTGTTATTTCGCTATATGCATGCACTTTGTCTATCTAGGATCTATTAGGAAAACTCTGATTGTATTTCATAAGAACTTGAAACATAATTGCTTTCATTTTTCTTTGTCTGATTGAGTTTGGACATTTTTTTATCATTATCTGCTCTATTTAATTGTTGGTGTTTCTTGTTCAGGGAGGTAAGATGAGAATTGCAGGGTAAGCTCTTAAGTTTTTAAAAAGACATTATTCATTGTAAGCGCCAGTTCATAGAGATTAAAATTCTTTTCTTGTGTAATTTATTTAAAAACTTGATTTAGGGTACATTATAAACGTTTTTAATTATCTCGATATACCCTGAACTATATTACGATTCATTTTGTATGAAAAATTAATTACTGAGCTAATAAAAAGGACCGCTGATAATACTATGAATATGAATTAGTAATGAATTTTATTTTATCTTATTGCTTTATTGCTGAGCTCATTGACCCAATTTTAATCTTTAAGCATTCATTCGGGTGAATGAAAAGTTCGCTATCTAAGTGTCAAAATAGTTACTCTTAGTTGTTTTTATATCTTTTTTTTTGTATTTTATGTCCAAAATATATCAAATATAAGAACAGTAAATAATGAATGAATCTAAGTAAATTTAATGCTTTCCTAAAATGAATAAAAAAATATTTCATTTCTTAATACAATATATGCTTGGGTGAATTGAAAAGAGAGAGATAGAATGAGTTAAACATTGCATGAATACGTAATCTTCATGATTTGAAATTAATCAATTATGGAGCATTCTCTCATAGAAACTTCTAATGAATATAAATCTGAGACTTCTTTTTTCCATACTCATATTGTTCATATTGAATTAATTTCTACGTTATATATATTTTTCTACTTTGTCATGCAGGATCATTCCATTCCTCATTTTTGTACATGTGAAATACTTTAATAAGGAAAAAAATTGTATGATAAGACAAAAAGTTATAATCAAAACAAAGTTTTCTCTATCGGATTCCTTTTGCTTTAACTTTTATTTTACTCCCTGCTACTCCCTGACATTCTCTTTAAGTAGATTTTTGTGTTCGTAAAATTTTTTTAATGTATTATTTGATTCAAAAACAGAAAATTTTCTTTTTATTCGTTGTTGAAAACAGAAAGTTTTTCCTTTACTTTTTTTTTTGTAAATGAATTAGGCGCTAAAAAGTTTGTTATTCTCTTTTATAAATGTGTCTGAATTGTAGAAGTTTAAGGAGAATAAAATTTTTTCTCTTGTGACTTTAACTTAAATTATTAAATGTCGTCCACATCTTTCTTGACGTTATACTGACAACATTCTACTTTTTATTCTTCTTCTATTATCAAATATTTCTTTAAATTTATTCTTAAATATTAAGAATTTTTTAACAGTCGGAGATCTTTTCTTATCACTTATCCAAGTGGAATGGTTTTAATGCATTTCTTGATCTGTATCTATAGATTTTTATAGTTGTAAGCAAACTTTTTGTACTTTAAGAGAATTGATATGTTTCTTTCAAGACAAAATTTTTATATTCACACCGTTTTCACGTGTGAATCTATTGGTTTTGTTCAGATTGAAAACTTCAAACTTATGCTGAGCGAAACTCACCTGACTCGCTAGCTTTATACCTTCAAACCTATGCTGAGCGAATCACAGCTGACTCGCTAGCTTTAAACCTTCAAACCTATGCTGAGCGAAGCACAGCTGACTCGCTAGCTTTATACCTTCAAACTTATGCTGAGCAAATCTTGGTCAATCCATAAGGTTTTTGATGGCATGGTGTGAATATATCCGCATTGAGTTTCTACTTGATACACTAGTTGCTTTTGCAAATTATAATATTTCATATAAAAATCAAAACTTATCCTTTTTTGATGCGAATTTGAGTTCTGGAAAATTTTAAGTATTTAATGGTGGATTTTGCGATAAATAATCCAATCTGGTTTTTGCACTATACGAGGCCCGTTACGGACCTCTTGCTGTTAATTATTGAATCATAATATAAAATACAAAACAGTGTTCCATGGTATTTACATATATATTTGACTTTTTCTCATTTTCTGAAAAATACAAACTAATTTGTATAGTGAAAAAGTTGAAATGAATTTTATGAACATTCAAAGGAGTTTCGTTATCGAAAAAATATGCATCCATGTTTTATTAAACGTATAATAAAGGAAGATGGATAGAAAAATGATAGAAAAATTTATTAAGATGATGTACACACAAACATATGACTACACTTATATACCAAGAAGAAGAAAAATCTCTAGACATCTGAGAATCATACACAAATATATGCATATAATGTAATATATGTAGCATAAAGATAGTAATTAATCATTCAATGCAAGAAATTTCTTCACACAGTGTGTATCCTTTCTTCTTTTAAAAGCATCTTATTAAAGTTTTACACACGCTTCTCTCAAATTTTCCACTCTCTTATTTCTTTTCTTATTTCGTCTTGGCATTAAAATTTAGTTCAAATGCTCGCCGCACCTAAGGAAAATAGCGCGCATTACTGGAAGTTCTCTCAATAATCAATGCTGTATGAAAATTGTTTCCAGTAATTTTCCAGCTACCCAACCAGTTCTCTTTTAACTTGCAATGTAACATGACGTTTATTAAGGTTATTTAGAAAATTTCAATAACAACAAAAATTGAGTTTGTTAAAGGATTAGTTTTGAAGCAGTCAGGAAGCTGGAAAATAAAATGGAATGTGAAATAATCTGATTTTAATTCGGATTTATAGTTCAGTATTTGATTTAATTAAGAGTTCACATGATAATATACGAAAAATAAAATCTATGATATATAATTGAATGCAAAAACTGCTAGCACGTTAAATAAACGTAGGAAAAATAATAAGATCTATTATAATTATTATTATTATAATACATTTATGTTGTGAAATCTTATGCCGTAAAAATAGAAAGATAAAGAAATAGAAAAAGGTTTAGCGAAAAAGGTATAAAATTCAAAAAAAAAGTTCTAGACGCGCAGAAAGAAAGAAGTTATATTAGGAATATAAAAAAGTGCTTAAAAATTTATATTTTTCAAAACCTCTCTGTCCGAACACAGTGAAAGAGAGGGAGAAAGTGAAAAAGAGTGCAAAAAAGAAATTTTATGGATAAAATTGTGGGACTTGTGAGTGAAAAAGTAGGGAAATATGTGCCAGGAATGGATAATGTGACGACATGCATTAAAGGGCCGAAATGAATAATTTTTGAATAAATTAAATTATCAAAGAGAGGATACGCATAAAAAAGCTAAAGAAGAAAAAGAAGGAAGTTACTATGTGCTTAAATAGTTATTTGTGCGTCGAATAGATACATGTATAAGCCGTAAGAGAGAAAAAAGTTTATCCATTAACGAAGGTATTGTGTATAAAGAAAAAT